GAGAGAGAGAGAGAGAGAGAGAGAGAGAGAGAGACCGGCTCTTGCGGACGGCATAAGGTTTAGCTGACGTAAAAAAGAAGGAATGTGCAAAATTTACTGCACCGGGGATAACAAGCGTAGCTCAGTGTACATGTGACGCGGTAAGAAGGTAAGGAAGGATAACATTATTTGCTAGTACGGCTGCAGCCGAAATAAAATGCGGTTTTTGGAGAATCGACTCTTACGGGAAACGTAAGAAACGTGTGTGTGGGGCGCACACAAAGAATACGCGGAAAAGTTTTTGAGAAAAGAAAGATGCACGTCGCATCGGTCATATGTACAGGAAAAGTCTTTTCTCGCGAGACTTTCCTGTCGAAGAGCGCGCTGAAACGTCTCGATGGAAAAATGTTTTCTATCGCATGCTTTCTCGTTTGGAATCGCGGCTTTTAAAGTCACATCCGAGGACCGGTACGATCTTCCTCTGCGCACACAAGTCGGATTATCTTAATATTAAATTTAGATTCGGAGCAATGAAATAGAGTAGCTACAATGAAATTTCATATGGGAGTAAAGTTATAATAACCAGGATATTTAATGCTTAGCGAATGATATGATGCCGGATGAGTCAGAATGAATTAAAGTATCTCAAAATGTCTAGTTCGCAAATCTAATTTATTTAACAAGATCCACGAGTCGAATCATTGTTCTTCGAAATCTTAGATTCTTCTTTTCAAAAAAAAATTTTTATTGTCTCATCCATCTATTATTTCCTCGAATACTTTAACTCTTTTTCGAGCCACGATATTTTTTGTGTTTATTGATAAATCTATCAGCCGATTTGTTGTATCGATTACAATTATTTAAGAATTACTATAGTTTCTTCATTTAGCTCAACAATAAAACATATAACCGTACGGAAAATTCTAAATGTAATAAAAGAATAGCGAATAATATATTTTGAATTCTGAGAATATTTACCAATGAGTTTATATTTTTGCACCAGCCAATCTTTATCTATTGTTTATATATACAATGTATTTTTATATCCTAATGTGCGATGTCAATATATGTTCCTTTTAAACTTGCACGTTTGAATCACGAAAATTCGCATCATGTAAATAAAATTATGATAATGTAATCCCCACAAACGTGTAATATGAAAACAGTGCAAACGCATCGTATAATGTTGCGTTTATTAAAATTATGCAACAAATAAATAAATAATTATAACACAAGAACAATAACACTCACCATCCTCGATGTCATTCCTTCGCCAATTGCCGCTTCCTTGATCCAGGTATCCATTTCCGTATCGAGCGATCAAGAAAAATGCGACTAATTGCGACCGATGCATATATTAATTAATAACGTGACACAATCCGATCGTCCGGCACTTTATTCCGCGCACGCATTTAACTTCCAACATAAAATACATCGCGATATTTTCGCACGGCTGAATACAAGAATATCGGATTCGAGGAAATCTAAGCCGCCATCGATTATTAACGGACTACACGCACACATGCACTTACACATATTACACA